CACGTTTTATGATGTGGAATAATTAAGGGCGGCTTTTTTTCGCAAAAGGCGCAATAGTTCTGTGTACTGCAACAAGAAGCAGCTTGGATAAATATTTCAACTCGTTTTTTTTTGGTTTGCGAAACCACCAAAATACTTTCATGTGGAACAACTTGTCATACAGTATTGTCATGTATAGTGTCTTTTGGGTAGTTGATTACCGTAATGAACGTACTATAGAAGCAACCGCCGCAAGCAAAAACTGGCATGCACTCATTGTTCCCAACCAAATGCATCATGCTTCCACTGCACCGACGACCGAGTGTGCTTCTGTCTCTTCTCATGGTCTTCTTTGACAAAAGAAAAAGAACGAGCTACTCTGTCTGATGGGGATACTTTGATTGAAAATATGACTTTGGATCGAAACTTTATTAGTCATTTTCGTTTCAACAATGTTGCCGTTCTTGCTGTAGAAGAGCTGATGCTTTGCTGTTGTTGCTGCAACCAGGGCTGTATATTTTTAGTCCGCCTCCTCCATACGATGCTTGTGTAACAAACAAGCAGAAGAGGGAAGAAGTCCTCAGCCGAAAAAGACCATTCGTCCGCAGACTGGCCATAATTGGGGCGAGCCGCTATTGCTTAGGTGCGACATGCCAAGAAATAATAAAAGCAAAAATACTGTCGCGTGGTGGATTGACCAATCCAAAGAATTCCGTACTACAACTAGCCGGTACTAGAACAACTAGTATTAATAGTAGTAGCAGCATAACCCCTCCTCATCATCATGGGCCTGCCTGATGCTGCTGGTGTATCCTCTGCAGAATAATCCTCTCCGTTCAGATTATTCCCCGCGTTCAATCCACTGGGAATCATCGGAGTGAGCCGCTGTAACAAGAGTTGAGAACAAAATAATGCAAGAAGTCCACGAATATAATGTTGTTTGTCAATTTTATTCAATTTGGGGTGGATTGCTTCCAAAGAGTCGACCCATCCGACTTCGAAGTCTGTTTGGTTCCCTCGCTCACACTTTCCAACTTCCGACTTTCGTCTTTGCTTTGGTCTTTGGTTCCCGGAGCTGACCCATCTGACTGTCATGTGCGTTTGTCGACATACAGTATCTCTCTCTTGTAGCGCAAAAGCTTGTGTCACCGTATACTTCTGGTACTTTGCATACGGGACTAGATCTGGTGTGATCCCTTATGTAACGTTTGCGAGAAGCGACAGAACCATGACAAGAATTGATAACAGATGGTGGCAGATGGTGATATCTAGCTTCCCATTTTTCGGAAGGAGCCATGTTCGAGAATTCTGATTGCCAATGTACTACGCGTACGCATTTCTACGTGATTGTTCCGGTAGTTCGACAAAGAACCAAATTCTCATTGCAAATGCACGCCAGTTAGCCAATCAAAACTCCTGAAAGGCCATTTTGCATCGAGCGCAGTTTCACAAAGCACCACTAATCTTTCGCGTACCAACTCACAATGCGTATGCACAATTGCCCCCGCGCCACTCCTCCTACTTACTGGAATTTAAGTGCCGCTACCAATAGTACATAACAGCTCATTCACTCAATTAGAAACCAACGACACGGACACCCCACACGATTGGCCTTTTTTGGTAAATTTGCAAATATTTTGCAATTGCATGGAAAGTTTTCCCGTGTGGTGAAACAAGAATCCATCAAACAACAACGTCGACGAGAATACAAGCTTCATTTTTGTGTTTTTCAATTCCCGTTAGAACGAGAGTCAATTTTGAAAGGGTTGTCAAACTAATAAAAGACATACCCAGACTTCTCATAAATTTGCACACCTTGCAAACACAACACTTCAACACAAATCCAATACCATGAAGATTGTTCAACTTTCCGAGGCCAAGCCTTTCCAATTTTCGTATTGCCATGCGTCAAGCAACAGTGACTCCGAGTCATTACCGTCCTCGTCCTCGTCGTCCTCCTCCTCTTTGGAGTGGAAGGAAGATGATACTTGCGTGCAACTTTGCATTCCCATGCCGGGAGTCAAGGCCCAGGACATTCGCCTTGCCATGACGCAAGACAGTGTGCTTCGAGTTTGGGGACAACGTTCCTCTTCCTTGAGCACAAGTAAATCCAACAAGAGACAACGCTTGAACGTTCGCGAAATCCCCATTGATACTCAATTGGTGGACATTGAACGAGCCATTGCCAGTGTCTGGAAGGATACTTTGGTGCTTTATGCACCCAAGAAGCGTGACACTACCTTTATGGTGTCATTGAAGAAATCAAGTCTCTTGGAAGAACTTGAAGAGTCTACCAGAAACAACAGCAACAGCAGCGAGGTTGCATGCTAATCAGTCTTGCGTTCTCTCAGCTTTTATCACACATTCACACACACACACATTTGTGTACGATTTTGCCCTCTTTTGGACACACCACACACACATTACGCACCACATTTATCACTTTTTGATCAACGTTTTTGCACACCGAAGATCACCAATTTAAAAATTACCATCTAATAATAAAGTATACTTTCAATACGAATATACATAACTAACTATCATTTCACTAGTATGTATCTACTATAGTGTAAAATCACATCCCTCCAGCAGCACGCGGAGATGCTGGTGTAAACCGTACAGCTCAAAAAAGGGGTTAGTTATTGGGCGCTATACCGTATTAACCGGTATAGCCATATGACGGGGATCCGCAACGCATGACATCGCGGCAGCAATTTCTTCCACACCTTTTTCTTCTTTCTTCATGAGAAGAAAAGTAGTTAGTGTATTACGCTATAGCTACTGTACATTAGTTCTGATCAGGTGGGAAGGAATGATTCAATCCCATAAAAGACTTTAACGAAAATGTTCTCGTGGAGAAAGTTGACGATTTCTGTTTTGATGATATTGATGATGATGAGAAGACTATGTTACCCGGTCTACCTCTAGTATTCTATATTCTGATCGAAATGTGAGGACGAAAAAATAATGGGTGGGATGTTGGTCGTACTGTCAAAAAGTATCATGATGAATTATTGGAAGTACGAATGAATGAATCGTCAATCGTCAATCGTGAACAACTGCTGCCATCTGGACAGCAGAATGTATACATGGATGGTAACATCATGGTAAACACTTAAGATACCATTACTATGAATGGCATAACCAGCAAGCAAATCTTCACCAGCTGTTGTCTCCTACTCCTACAATTGCGCTAGCAAAATGCTATGTTATGCATTTTAATCTAGCTAGTAATAGAATGAAATACTAAACGACTAAAATCATGTGTATAAATGTCTAACTGTTTCATTTTTCAATCATTTCCTTACAAGAGTTGCAAAGGCTACTAAACGATGATCAAGGACCAGAACATCACACCAAGGGCAAGGAGTACTACCGAAGAGGAGAATCCAATGCTTGCCGTACCACTGGGTTCGACATACGTAGTGTGTTCACAATCGCTTACATCAAACTCGGAACAGGAAGCACAATCTGGTTTGTAGCAACAGGCAACCCTGTCGCAACCTTGAGTTCCAAATCGGTACTTTTGAATGTACTTCCAATCTTCTCCATACGCAATTCCAGATCCAAAGGCAGTGGTCACCAATCGAAAGTTCACATTCAAATCTCTCAAACTGTCAAAGGTGATTTCCACGCCTTCATTTTCCGGAAGACCTTCCAAAAAGAAGTAGGCCGAATCTCCATCCAAGGGTGGCCGAGTGCCACATCCATCCGTGCTGAATCCGCTCACCCAGGTATGGAATTGACCACTGTCTTGAGAAAAGGTGGTATTCGCCTCGCGCGAATTGTCCAATCCAGCACCCCACTTGGCCACTGTCAATTTGGGTTCGTCAAAGATATAAGATCGCCAATTGACACCAATCTTGCGATCTCCATTGCTGTTTTCATCAATGATGCGGCCCCAGACAATGAGTTCGGCACGGCAGGCAGCTTCTTCGATGCTGACGGTGGGAAGACAACCATCGCTCACGTTGGCAATGTTGCATCGGGCCCAATCATCAGCGTCGCTGTAGAAATTGAAATAATCGTTGGGATCGTCAACGGAAACTTGCAACTCGCGGTCTTGTTGCAAATCAAAAGCAGCAGCTGGGCGGGAAGCTTCGTCGTCTTGGACCTTGGCGGTCACGACTGCGGATGCAAGGAGTACTGAGAGTGTTAATTGGAATGATGAGAGCTTCATGATGTCTTTTGTGTTTTGGTTTCCTTTGGTTTGAATTGAATTGAATTGAATTGACAATAGCAATGAAGGTATAATATATATGCCAATCTATAATGGTATTATAAATTGTACAGATGCCAATAATCTTCCCTTTTTTCTTCCTGTGGTTTTGCAATTCAAAAAGTCATCAAGGATGACCATCGGTTTGACGTCGGAAGCAGTTTCTGGTTTAAGTAGAGCGACATTCCACACGACATTCTTCAATTAGCGCTGAAAGGTAGCGAAAACTATCCGGCAACATCATTCATTCGATTGATACGACTTCCGTCTGGAAAAGCAATTTATTCTTCAACAATATACTGCAATGTTTCTACCTTTAGCAATTACGAGAAGTACCTGCTCTAGTAGAGAGACGTCCATAAATTCACAGGAATCGTAATGATAACAATAATAATAATAATGACTATTGATACATATTCTACACTATAGTTCACTAAAATAACAACACCATCGTACCGTCCAACCAAGAACCATTCCATGTTCTTTCGTTTGGACTCTTTACTCCGATCAATCCCCAGCAGCCTCAGCAGCAGTTTCTGCATCTTCTTCCTTATCTTGTTTCATCCAGTACTCGTAATTCGCATACAAGCCTTGCATAATTTTTGGGTTGGAGAATTCCATCGCTTCAAAGGCTGGCAGAACCAAGAATTTCAAGAATCCCTGTTGAATCGATACCTTACTATTACTATTGGCCACACTTCGATCAAAGCTCACGGGCAATCCCAAGGATTTTTGCAAGTCGCCCAATTGGTAAAATTCTTCCAAGACATGTTCGGTCCAAATGGAAAAAGTAGACTTGGTGGGATTGGAAATATCGCACAAATGCAGCAAATACATGGCCGCTTGCCAATCGTCGTCGTCGTCTTGTGGTGGTGTGGAAGCTGCTTGTGAAGCTCGTTCGACTTGCTCCTGATGCTTGGCCATGTCAGTGTGCAAAATGGCTTGTGCTATGAATTGACGAATTTCGTCTCGTTCCTGGAGGGGCAAATGATCAAGAAGCTCGCTGGAATCGAGTTGCTTCAAACCAACCTCCACATGATGCTGTTCCAAAACCGAAACGTTTTGATAGCGAATGGCAAGTTGGGATTGGGTTTGGACTTGAAAATCATTGTTGGTACCGTCATGTCCGACATCGTGCAAAATGGCGGCCAAGAGGAGGCTGAAATGTTGTACCTTGGTGAGGCGGTAGGACTCGGATTGGAGCATGCTGTGGAGAGTTTGCAAGACGTCTGCCGCATGAATGTGATTGTGATACGGATTATTCTTCTGATAGCCTTGTTCAATCGTGCGGACATAATCCATAAAGGCGGTGGGTGATATTCCAAAGGCATCGAGCAAGTTGCAATACTCATTGTCTTGTTGTTCTTGTTGTGATGCTGAGGATGATAATAGGAGTGGCTGCGAATACGGACTTGCCACAATGGCCCAACTCATGAACAACAAGGAATGGCCTTGCGTTAGTTCGTCCAACCGAAATATTTCGGGATAATCAAAGGTCGACACCTTGTCCCAATTTAGCATTTGTTGGAGTTCGGTTTGTGCGGCACCTGATAATTCATTCCATTCCGGAAGTATGGTTGTTGTTGTTGTTGTTGTTGTTGTGGTACCATCCTTATCAGTATTAGTATAAGTATTCAGCGGATTGGCAGCGACGCTCTCTACTCTTGCGTTTGCTGCTGCAGAGGCGGCAAAGCTGACATGAAGCGCCGAGTTGACAGGTGATGATGGATGGTGTTTAGGAATCGCTGAATTTCCGGAAGAGGCAAATTGAAGCGAAGTGGAAGATGATCCAAAAGAAGAGAACGTCTTGGTAGTCTTGTAAACATTGTGATAATGATAGGCTGACAGTACGACCTGGCAAAGCGTCAATAAACACAAGGTTTGGAGACATTTGGAATTGTTGCTGAAGAACTGAAACAGAGTGGAAGAATATTCTGCAGTCTTCTGTTCTCCTCCTCCTCGTTGCCGCTTTCGACTGTGATTGGATATTCTCATCATCTCTCGACGTTTATGGTTGTGCGATTGTATTACTGTGTGACTGAGTCAATCTCTTGACACCAGTACCATATACAGTATTATACATGAACTGTCTCAACAACAATCGTGACACACAAGTTTCAAATTTATCACGTTTTTGCCTCGTGGCAAAACTTCTGTGTGTGCTACCCGGCGGTACCATACAACATGTAATGCACGTTTACATGTGTACCTACCGCGGTATTATATATAATATATATCATATAATTTATTGCATGGCCACGAGGCACGATTATTGAACGCAAGCCAGCATCGCAGAGCGAGCACGCCGCGAAGCTTTTTTGACCAAACGAATGATACCGTGTGATAGAAATGCACAATAAGGTGACGCGAACAGCAATTTTCTCCGTCGAACGTTCGTGATCTTTTGTATTGTTCCAGCCGCTTCTCCGGTTCAGTTACTTGTAATAATTGTTTATCATTTCTTTAAATGCCGTTTTTAATCTTTGTTTATAGCTTTCCGAGGATTAAAACTTCTGGCAGAAATCGGAGGCACAAAAATCGTTGGCAGAATAAAGACAGATGAGCGAAACCAACAATGAAGCACAAAACCACGAAATGCCGATGGACGACCCGATGAGCCTCATCAGCGAAAACAAGGATTTTGTCCTCGAAATCGACAGCGACAATGAAGATGACACCTCGGTTTTGCTCGACGAGAACGAGGATCGGGTATACCCCCCAGGTGCTGATAACCAAGAAGAAGTGTACGACATGCAATTTCTACATCGTGTGATTGAAGATGCCGGACGGTGGGCCTTTGGAATCCTTCTCGCCGAGTTATGGGTGATGGACGATACCGGGACGCTGCTCTTTCGTCCCGATTGTGGATGGTGGGCGGACCGCTATGCGTCGACCGAAGCCTTTTCCAAACTGACCGATTCTTCTCTTCCAGATTATATTCCGGCCGATCCTTGCATGCCCGGCATTGGATTGCCAGGATATCTTTGGTCACAGGCTACAACCAACACAAGAAGTAGTACAATAAGGCAAAGCACCATCCGAGGTGGCTCTAACTTTCTTGGAACAAGCCGACAGCATGGCGGGGCAAGGCGTGGAAGTGTTGCCTCCCGTGGCAGTATGTTTGGAACTGGTACAATTGGTAGCGGCATGATGCATTCGCACCATCCCGATCAATCTTCTTCTGCCAAACTTACCTGGTGCGAAGTCAAGCCCTTGGCCGACGATCCCGATCAGCCATACTGCGAACGTACCCAATATCTAGCCAACAAGGCTGGACTCGGGTTGGCCGCGGGGGTGACCTTTAATGTTGGAGGCACTCGAGGAATCGTCGTTTACATGGCCCGTGATACGGCCAGTCTCAAAGATCTGACCGATTCTACCAACGAAGAATACTTGCAACGAGCGACCAGTGTCATTGGATCGGCCTATTCCCTGAGAAGGGCGCGGATTGAAGTGGTAAAAAAGCGAAGAAAAGACATCAACAAATGCTGGCGACGGGTCCGCATCAAGCTGTTGGCGATCCGATTCATGGGATTGTCTCTGGCCAAAGTGGTCGAACGGGAAGAGCAAAAAGCTGCTTTGCAAAAAGGAAAATCACAAAGCATGAAGGATGTCATGAAAGAACTAGATGGAACCGTCAACAAAGTGGCGGGGTATTTCAAAGCCAAGATCAAGCAAGAAGCCAAAAAGTTCATGGGTGCCAACGTCAAGGCACCCCCTCCTATGGGATGGTCAGCATCCGCTTTTACCTTTATGGGTTGCTTTCTCACCTTTGCAATGTTGACGAACTTTAGCAAGTTCATGCAACAAAGTTATGGACCCGAATACTCAATTGTACTGCCGTAAGTTTGGCCTGCGTATCCCCCCTACATCGAATATTCAAAAGTCGACGAGTTCTAACACCATGATGCATTACTTTACTTCAGTCCATTTGGCGCACTGATGGGTTTACACTATGGTTTGACATCCGCTCCTGCCTCCCAGCCTCGCAATGCGATTGTCGGTCAGGTTCTAGGACTCACCATTGCGCATTTGATTGGATCCTATTTGGATGTGGAACTCTGGTTGCGACAGTCACTGGCCATTGCTTGCGCCGTTGGAATCATGGTCAAGTGCAGTGCGATTCATCCCCCAGCGGGAGCAGCGGCAGTAGTCTTTTCGAGTGGAACCTTTACATGGATTCAAGTGGGAATGATGTTGGTCGGAAATGTCCTGGCTATTCTGTCTTCCACACTGATCAATAATTGGAATGATCAGCGGCAGTTTCCTACGTTTTGGGGATTCCGTCCAATCAACGATTACTTTTCTGCATTGTTTTCCGCAAAGAAGGAAAGCATGGACAAGGAGAAATAGTCTGATGCGCGCATTCATGGAGATGTGTGTCGAGATCAGAGCAAAAATCAACGACAATATAGATAGATTCTTCACCATCAGCTAATCAAAAGAGTCATAGTAAGCAGCAAAAATAAAGGTTTCAATTTCATCAGCTATGTACCGTATCCATCCGGTCAATATACTAGCATGGTCGTGTCCTGATACCCTTACAGGTCTTGTTGCGGCCCGCCTAGAATGAATCATCTAGTATTCCTGTCGTAGTGCTGCAGCTGCTATTGGGACCCGCCGCAGCAATATATATCCATCCCAACGCGATCTGACTGGCCGATACTTTATTCTCTATTTCTCATGACATTCATTCCAGTCTCGTAGCGTGATGCTGAAGGATACTCCTGCGCGTGCACATGAACTATTCCAACAATAAGGCTTGTGAGTTGCCCGTTTTATTGGCAACCCCAAAAGTGGAATTTTCTAGCGATTCCCCCCTTTAGCCAGTATTGTACCTTGCACGGACCGTTCTACATTCTAATTTTTTGCACACACCGATTACTGTTTTTCATCGAGTTACATAGTGCATTTGGATCCATGGTGGGCAATTCTAGCAAAGAGTGGTAAGCGGTTGACTGTATTTTTCTCAGTAGTTTTCTTGTAGTCAGAGTGGTCGATTTTGGAGATTCTACCTTTGTTCTCGCTGCATACCGGTATATCGATCACGATATTATATATATTGCAATAGGATATACCGGTATCAGTTTCTGACTCTATTTATTCTGGCATCTCGCTATCTCACGCGGCAGTAAAAAAATTGTAACTTTATTGCGACTTTTTAAAAAAAGCTAAAGCAATTATGCACAGCTACCACTCGATCATCAGTAACAACACCCCCGTCTTGCTAAGCTTGGTAGAATCCGATGATGAGACAGCCGAATTATCTTCTGGTGAAGAAGCAGCAGCAGAAGAAGTCTGTGATATGGAATTTCTTCATCGACTGATTGCCGATGCGGGACGGTGGGCCTTTGGAATCATTTTCGCCGAGTTGTGGGTATTGGATGATACGGGGACTCAGTTATTTCGTCCCGATTGTGGATGGTGGATGGATCACTATGCTTGTTCCACTCATGCATTTTCCAAACTTGTCGATTCATCCTTGCCAGATTACATTCCTGCCGAGCCCTGCATGCCCGGCATTGGGTTGCCAGGATATCTTTGGGCGCAAGCTACAAACAAGGCTGGTAATACAAGACAAAGCGTAATGTCTGGTCGACAGAGCTTATTCCGGAAAAGTAGTGACGGGATTAGAACAAGTTTACTTGGTGCTGGTGGTGGGGGAAAGATGAGTAGTGCTGCAACTCGAAGTAGCATGTATGGAACAATCAGTAACCTGCACAGTTCCAACGGTCAGCACCAACAGAATCAT